GAAGCTCACTGGAGAATGAAGATGGTGAGTTTGGGTTTGGACATGTTGAATACCCGTAGGGAGCAGCTTGGATGCCACAATCAGACAGACCTAGTTTTGCATCCCAGCTGTACACTAACCAGCTGGGTCCCTGAGGATCTACTTAACTTAGCTAAGCCTTGGTTTCCTAGCTTGCAATTTCCCCAGAAAATGAGCTGAGCAATATTTACTTTGCAGAATTGTTGTAAGGAAGAATGAGGAAGTGTGTCTAACGCATACTTATGTTCAATAAATGGGAGCTGTTTAATGGCTTTTATTATCCTGATCCAGGTGGTAATGTCTAGAAAGTGGGTGGGTTTCTGGACCTGGATGTTGATAGAAGTGTGGGCTGAGGCAGAGACGTGCATTAAACGGGCAGTCCTCCCAGACACCCCAATCTGGGCTCCGAGCCTTCAGTCTCAGGAAGGAAAAGGCCTCCCTGAGAGGATTGACCTGAAGAAAGTTTATCCCCCACCAGTAGCTTTAGCCTTTTCGGGGTGATCCTGGGGCTCAGAGCACCTTTAACTACAATCACCAAAAGTTACTTTTCCAAGAACCTGAGATTTCCAGAAACAAATATTTTCATTGGAATGAGCTAGTATAGGCAGATATTTTAAAAATAACTTTACTGCTTTTGTTAAAAAGACTTCGTGTTCATTATTTTAAAATTCAACTAATAGTGAAAGATACAAAGAAGAAAGTAAAAATCGCTTACACGAAATGTTCCCTTCCCCACAAATACAGGAGGAGGAAGGGTGGAGGGAGAAAGATTATGTTAGATTGCTAGAAATTTTTTTTTTAAATGTATTTAAATTTAATTGAACTTCAATATAAGTGAAGTGAAACTGTAGGACTTGCTGAATTTTGGTAATTGCTTCCTCCAGATAAAAAGAGATTAGTTTTTTAAAGTTTTCAAATATATATTATGAAATGCATTAGGGTTTGGAATCATTGAGGTACTTTTTTTTACATCATATGTTTCAAATTTAGATAGTGACTTCCTGTAAGAAAAGATAAAATGGCAGCATTTCTTCCCACCCTTATTATTTCTTCCTACCTTTTCATATCTATACATACAAATGATGTTATTCTTTTTATATTGTTAAGTTTATAATATTTACATTTCATTCTGTAACCATAATTTCCATAGTTTTTTAAGCCTTAAACTTATATGTAAAAGGATTTAATGCTCACCACTAATCCCTTTACTATGGCTGCTCATTCCCAATTTTATGATTTTGATTTATGTCTTGTTTAGCTGGGTTTCATTATTCAATAGTTTTCCTAGAAGGACTCAAAGGTGCTATGTTCCCTGAATTCTAGCATGGTTGAAAATGTCTTTAATTCTTGAAGGACAGCTTGAATAGTTACAACTTCTGGGCTACTCTTTCCTTCAGAACTTTGTAAATGCTACACTGTATTTAGTGTTGTAGAGAAGTCTGAGACCAGCTGATTTCCAACACCACTCAGTCCTCACCTCTCCCTGTAGATGGCTTATTCTTCTAAGAGGGTAGCTGGAGCAGCATTTTATACACATATAAAATGCAATCTGCAAGTTCAGCTTTTATCTCAATTGGGAAAATTTTTCTTCTGTTCTATCTTTGGATATGTTTTTTTTTGTTGTTGTTCACTACTTCAGAGACATCATAATCCATGAATTTCTCATCAGTGTCTCAAGTGCAGGTCTATTATTCCATCTCCAGATACTTTAATCTTTCTTTTACATTTCTTGTGCTCATCTCAATCCCTCCGATCCTCCTTGCTCATTCAGTGTGAGGCTGTATTTGTTTTACTCTTTCATACTTCCAACACATTGTACTTCTATCTTTTTATAATTTCCTACTTAGTTCTGTTATTTTGGTCTTTATTTCCTTAAATTGTAATATTCTTCCATCTTTGTGTGATCCTCTCATCTCATCTCTGATTTCCTATTTTCTTTCTTTTTTTTTTTTTAGGTTCTAATTTTTCCACAAGTCAAAGAATATGTGGTATACATTTTGCACAAAATTGCATTTTTGCTGTGTTTGTTGCCTCTGTTTTTATCCTGACATCTGCCTCCTGCATGTTTCCTTTCTTCGTTCCTTTTTACCTTCCTTCCGTTTTTCCTTCCTATTTTGACTGTATCGTATTTTGATATAGTTGCCATGACATTTGTTTTCACTTTATTTCTCTTTTACATGGACATTTCTACCTGGATTTTCTCTGTAGCTAGATATGTTGTATAGGTCAGATTTCACTGACTTCTTCCTGTCCTGAGATCCCCGTCCTCCCTGCAGCCCTTAGGGGAGGACTGTGTATTCTGTGGCTGCTTCATTACTGCTTGAGTGGTGGGGGAGGGGAAGTTCAAACAGAGCTGTGTGTATGGTGTTTGTGGGATTGGTTTCTGCTCTTTTTCTGACTTTGTTCATAGTCCAACACTTGGGTTTATTACATCAAAGTGGAGGCTTGTCTTATTCCCTTAGGTGGGGAGTAGTGGGTGATGGATTATTTCACCACTTCAGGGTAGAACTATGGAGACAATCTACTCTGGTATTTATTTCCCACATTGGATCCAGCTGTTTTCAGCAGCCACTTTTCCTGATCCTGTCAAGTGAAGGAAGGAAAAGGGGTGAAGGTCAAGGAGTTTGGCCACTATGCTTTATCTCAGAAGTGGCAGGGGTGGGGGGCAGCTTCAGTTGGGGTTTTCCAGGTGTCTCACCCCATCAGAGAAGCTTGTTTTCTCTTCATTTTCCTTTCTGGCAAATCCCTCCATAACGTTCTATGTAATCACCACTGGTAGACTACTGTGCAGTCTTTTCTTTCTGTCTTTCCTTTCCTTTCCTCTTCCTCAAGAAAAGCAAACAGCGCTTTTTCTCGGGATGGAGTCTTGTTACGGTGGGACGGAGACCTTTCTACTCCAGAGAAACGCTCCGAATCTCCTCTGCGCTGCCCTCCGCTCTGGTATTTCACTCGGTCAAAACTCTCCCTCTCACCTCTGCCTCTCAATGCGGAGTCTTTGAGGGAAGAAGAAAGGGTTCCCAAGGGTGGGAGCACTACATTTATTTCTAAGTTTTGTCTTTCTCTGGGCATTATTTTGAAAGATTATTGCCTTCTTCTGTATTTGAGAGTGGCTGGTATATCTTTGGTTAATTTTAAAATTTGTTATTATTGTTAAGTTAACTTGGTTGAGTTTAGGAAGAGGTTGGCTGGTCCCGGGATCCATCAGTTCTAGGATCACTCTTCAGACAGCCACTTTAGCAGGGCTGGAAGCCCTGACTAGTTACTTTTTGGGGTAGGGGATGCTCAAAAAGTGCCTAGGGCACTTTTCTAGGCAAAAGCCACTGGTATGATTTTTACTTGATTATTAGACCTTGGTATGATTCAGTCAATCATATAGATTTCTCAGGAGCCTATTGCTTATTTATCTCTTAGTTGGGTATTGGTAGAATGAGGCCAGAAACAACACAGGATTTACCATCTGTCGCATGAAAATGACAGAGAGCAGTAGTGCCAGGACAGAACCCAAGAGGTGACAGGTAGCAAAGAGAATATCTAGTCCAATCTTATATTCAAAGAAGGACCATTGACTGCCGTGCCTCTGACAAATGGCCCTCCAGACTTTTGAGGGATACCTTGAGTACCAGGAATTGCACGAACATCATTCTGTTCTTGGAAAGCTCAAAGTATTTAAGCATTCTTTACCTTGAGCCAAACTACACCCCCTCTTCTTTCTGAATGGTCTCCCTTGGTGAGGCTTCTAATTCACGTGACTCCCAACCTTAGCTCCATTTGGATGGCCACCACAGCTATGCCTATAGTCCTGAGCTCTGGCCTGGCCTACAGTTCTGAAAAATAATTGAACAGGTTGGGAATATTTTGGGTCAAAACCCATCAGAGATGGTAAAACATTTCACTATAAAGTCCTGCATGCAAATGGAAAGTAACCATGGTATGGGACGAAGATACCTGATTTGGCTCAAGTGAAAGAGATTTGAGGCTTTTTAACCCTAAATGTACTGTCCTCCCATAGCAAGGCCAAGTCTGTGCTGCGTGAACAATAAATGTGGACGTCAGGGACAGGTGCCAAGTCTTCCTGAGCTAGGAGCTTATAAGAGCACATCTGGGCCTCTGGGACAGCAACAGCTATAGTGTGTGCAGGGAGGGGATGAGATCTAGGAGCCAAGGGCCACAGTGGGTTACAGTGAGCAGCTGGGAAAATGGGGCTAGAGCCTGAAGGAGAAAAACTTTGGGAGAGGTATAAGAGCCGTCTTCAAACAGGAGAAAGATTTATGGGAAAGAAAATATTTCATTTGTTCTTTTTGCCTTCAGAGCAAGACCCTGGATAGTTTGAGGAGATAACAAAAGCTTGTTCATCAATTCTGTTGACTAGGAGGCATTTATTTCTGAGGTCATCAAAAGACCTACTGATCTTAGGTTTACCCTGGAAAAGTCCTGTTTCTATTCCTGTTTAAGGGGATATGGAACCAGATGCTGATTTCTAGGTAGGCCACAGATGATTGAACTGTTGAATTCATTTGAGGAAGAATAATTGGGCAACAGTCCTCCTGAAAATCCTGCTAATGAGAGGGGAATTTTGCAAACATTATGCCAAATAGCCAACCAGCTTCCAGTTGCCAGAAACCAACCTTTGACCTCAGACACAAGAGCCTGCTTTGTATTTTGGGAAGCAATGGAAAGAACTAGAATTTGGAACAGACAGAATTGGCTTGAAGTCTGCCTATGCCATTTACTAATTCTGTGACATGAAACAAGTTCTTAACCTTGCTGAGTCTTGGTTTACCCACCTGTAAAATGAGAAGATTAAGTTCTAGCTTATTGAGTCATTATTGAGTAAGGATAAAATGAGAGTCACAAAGCCCCTGGAATATAATTAGGTTCTCATGAATGTTAAAGTTCCTTCTATCCATTGATGCAAGTTGCCAACAGCACTACTGCAATTTCAAACAGACATTTTATAAGTTAAGCCCTTTTATTTCTTTTAGGGCTGCCTTCTGAACCCTCCCCAGCTACTGAGGAGGAAGAATCAAAGAGTGGCGTGGATGTCATGCCCAATATTTCTGACATGCTGCTACGCAAACTGCGGGTCCACAAGTCTCTCCCTGGAAGGTAAAATCAGGGCATGGGTTGCAGAAGACCTGTGTTAGGTGGCCTGTGTAGATGGGACCCAGAAGTGCACCGGCCTTGATCTTGGACCCCAGATGGGTCAGAGTCCAATGGTCCAGAGTCCAATGGTCCAGACCGAGCAAATGCATCTAAACCAAAAAGAACAAGAAAGGGCCAGGTGGGTGGTTCCAACTCAGAGAGCATGTGGGGTTCTCAGGCATGCACAAGGGTCACCAAGGGCCTCATGGCAGCAGAGGGTGGTGGGCTTTGGGCCAGGAGACATGGTTTTAATCCCAGTTCTTTCATTTACTTATAACCGAGAGATTCTAGGTCTGATATGTGCATAGATAGAGATGTAGAACATTTGGTACCACGTGAAGAAGGATTGCTTAGAAAACCTACCAGGCTCTTCCACACATGGGGAGAAAGCTGCTTCACTTCCTAAGCCTCAGCCTCCTCACCTGTACAACAGGACTCTGTCACTGGTGGCTCAATGACGTGCTATGTGCACCGGGACTTAGGATTTTATCAGCACATCACAGGCCCTTGATAACTGGGTTGAAAAATGAACAGTTTCGAGTATAAAGGAGAGAAAACAGGGTACCACTAAGCAATAAGGATTGGGTGGGTACCTGCAAATGAGGCCTCCCATGAAGCCCAGGAATCTGGGGACTACCCTTTTGGGGACAAAGGCCATTAGGAGGAGCCTATTTTGGGGTAAATATGAAAGGAAAACCAGTTTTGCCCATCAGGTGTTATGCGTTTGAATTCCACACTGTAATCACCTGAAACAGAGCCTGTCAGGGCAAGACTCAGAGGGACCCAGTGACTACACCAACATTGAGAAAAGGGCTAGAAACAAGTTGGAAGCAGGCTGAATTCACAGCTGGAAAAGGGCGTGGCCAGTTCACCTGGTAGAAAGGCACAGAAGGGGCATCCAGAGACAGAAACCAAAGGAGAAGCACCACAAGTCCATGGTTTACATGCTGTGTGTCTTCTGGTGTTTGCGACAACACAGTGAGGCAGAAAAGGAAGATTTTATTTGGTTTACCTTCAGTGTGACACAGAGAAGCTAAGCGACATGCTGGGAGGTGATGGAGTCAGGAACTGAATTCAGGGTGGACTGATTTGCCTTTCCAGCTATACCAGGGGCCTGTCAAAAGTACCAAAACGTTACCTCTGTAAAGTTGAAGATAGTTAGTATGATTAGGGAACACTTCTAGCTAATTAAACTTCCTCAGCATCCCAGGAAAGGGAGACTGAACAGTTCTATCATTCTTGAGAAACTTAACAGTGACTAGCTACCAACCATGAGGCCAGGCTGGGCTTTCATGATCAAGGAACAGGATCAGCTTCCAGAGCGTGGGGTCCAGGCTGTTAGATCGAGGTCAGTGTCTCTCATGTATTGTGTCAATAGCCATGTGGCCCATCCTCAACTTCCCTGCTCCAAATACTAAATCAGCCTCCTGCTTCTGGCCTCAGTAGAGGCTGTTTTAAAATTGGGACCTTGGTTGGGCCCGGAACTCTCTAGCTCTGACTTGGGATGTGGGAGACATGGACAAACAGTCATGTAAGATGTCATCCAAAAGAAGAAAGCCGAGCTTCAAGATTTCTTTCCCAAGCAGAAATACGGAAAGATTATACTTGAATTTTAACATGCAGAAGGAGTTTGTTTTATGTTCTATGTGAATTACGTGAATTGGGATTGAACCATACCAAGAAGGAGCTCATAGGGTCAGCAAACTGAATGGATTCAGTAGAAAAACCAGGTCTAGAACCCAAGCCAGGGACATGGTCAGTGGTTGGTTAACAAGAGTGCAAAGAGGAGATGTCACTGGATAAGGGTCAAACACCAACAGGAGCACTAAACAGGCATTTAATCAACAAGTATTCATTGCGTGCCCATTATGTGTCAGACATTAGAATGGAGAACAAGAAGACACAGTCCCTGTTCTCATTACATTCTGGATGAGGAGAAAAATAATATTCAAGTAACAAAATGAATAATTTCAGGTAGCACAGCTTTCAGGAAGACCATGAGATGGGCACATATAGAAAATGACATAGGAATGGAGCACTGGGTAGAGTCCAGGAAGGCCTCTATGATAAGGTAGTAATTAAGTTGAGACCTACAAGTGACCAAAAGAAATTATCCATGCAAATATTTCAGGGAAAAAATTTCCAGACAAAAAAGCACAGTAATTTCAACAAATTATCCTGGGATGACTGGACAGCTACCTGCAAAAGAATAAAATTGGATCCTATCTCACACAATACACAAAAATTAGCTCAAAATGGATCATAGGACTAAATGTAAGAGCTAGTGCTTTAAACTGTTAAAAAATATATATATAAGAGCAAATCTTTGTGACCTTGGGTTAGTCTATGGTTTCTTAGATATGACACCAAAAGCACATGCAGCAAAAGAAAAAAATACATGAATGGCATTTCACCAAACTTTTGTGATGCAAACAATATCATCAAGAACGTGAGAAGACAACCCATAGAATGGAAGATAATATTTGCAATTATGTATCTGATAATGGACTTGTTTCCAGAATATATAAAGAACTCTTAAAATTCAATAAAAAGACAACTAATTTTTTTTAATGGGCAAAGGATTTAAGTAGACATTTCTTCAAAGAATATATATGAGGAGTTAATAAACACATGAAAAGAGGCTCAACATTATTAGTCATTAGAAAAATGCAAATCAAAATGATAATGAGATACCACATTACATCTACCAGAATGGTTATATTACAAAAGATGAACAATAACAATGTGGAGGACTTGGAATCCTCATGAAAAGGTACAGCCACTTTGGAATAACAGTTTGGCAATTCTTCAAAAACTTAAACATAGTTACCCTATGGGCCAGCAACTCCAAACCTAGGTATATAACAAAGAAAATAAAAATATATGTTCACATAAAAACTGTACATAAATGTTCAATAACAGCATTTTCATAATAGCCAAAAAATAGGAAGAACTCAAATGTCCATCAACTGATGACTGGACAAACAAAATGTGATACATTCATACTATGGAATACTATTTAGACTCAAAAATAAAATACTGATACATGCTACAAAGTGGATGAACCTGGAAAACATGCTAAGTGAAAGAAGCCAGTCACAAAAGACCACATGTTGCATGATTCCATTTATAAGAACTATTCAGAACAGGGAAATCTCTAGAGGTGAAAAGTAGATTAGTGGTTGCCTAGGGCTGGGGATGGAGGGTTGGGAAAGATGGAGAGTGACTGTTAATTAATGGATATAGGGTTTCTTTTTGGTATGATGAAAATGTTCTAAAATTGTAGTGATGATTGTAAAACTTCTGTGAATATACTACTAAAAACTACTGAATTATAAATTTTATAGTCTGTGAATCATTTTTCAATAAAGTTACAAAAGAAAATGAAAAAAAGGAAAGAAGGGTGACTGCAAAGGCCCTGGGGCCACAGTAAGTGTGTTTGAGGAGCAAAATGGTCAGTGTGGCTGGACAGTGGGAAGAGGAGAGTCTGGTAGGGGCTGGTTCGCAGAGGGCCTTGATTTTATTCTCAGGCCGATTGAGGGAGGCTGAATTCTGAGGCAGGCAGTGCCATCCAGAGTGGTCTCCTTGTATGTCACCTGCAAGCCTTCATGTTTTTGGAGACCCAAGGCTCTGCCCCTACCTGCCCATGCCAGTTCACAAGGCGTAGCTCTCTGCACCGAGCTAGCTGTCCGTCATGTGGCTTCCTTAACTAAATCACACCTCCCCAAGTCCACAGGGCTTTGAACATTTTTTTGAAAAGTGTATGCTATAGCAAAAAAGCAGAAAATGAGTCATCTAAATAGAAAAATACGTTTGGTTAATAAGTGATAAAATATGCAAATGTCACACAAAGCTAGGAGTCAAAGGCAAGCTTAACAAGTTTTGATAAATTATTTAAGCAGTATGTGCATGTTCTAGAAGATTATATTGACTGGCCCACAGCAGAAAAGGCCTGATGGGTGGGGTTGTGACAAGAATTGTAAGCATTAAACATGTTTGCAGTTGTTTATCTCATGCTCTGTACTCTGCTGACTTGCTGACCATGGGGTCTTGCCTCATCCTGACAGGAAGGGTTTCAGAGTTCCTTGTCGGGGTGAGAACCAGACCCCTGTGGAGATAGCTGACCCCTACCTTTGCTCTTGGGGTCCCTCCACACCTGTCAAAGGGAGGAAGCTGTGTTTCCTGAGAGTCTTATCAATGGCACACTGTTGCCAAGTCCTATGATGCTCACAGGACCTCTCCCAGTCCTCCCACCCCAGCACAGGAAAGGGCCTGGGCAATATTTACATTGTCCAGGTTTCAGAACAGGGCTGGCTTAGTCACCAGCAGGAGTGGCAGCAGCAACAACACAGTGAGCGTGCAGAGGCAGGACTGCTTGCTGTGGGAACCGCACATGACAAGGAACCTCAGAGTATGCCGCTGTGCTAGCTGGGACTTCCTCGCTCGATCTCTGGTTCCGGCTCTCAGGAGCGTTCTCGCTGTGGAGAGGAGCTCTGGCCACTCTCTCCCACCTTGTACTCTGTGTCCTACATGCACCCTGTACAGTCCTCAGAGACAGGAGGAGGGTCAGGCTTTGGGGACCTGGGTAGCCCCGAAAAAACGGGCTGCTCAGATGTGTACAGTTTATAATGTAGCACATGTATTTTCTTAGTAAGTCCTCAAAACAAGCCTGTAAATGAGTCATAATATTAACATCTGACTGCCTGAGTGTGGATGTCATGTATATACATATGTGTACATACACATATACCTATACACATAAATACACATGTGGATATCATATATATGTGAATATATGCACACATATGTACATACGTATATTTATTATAAGACTGCTGTAAGATAAATATATTATCCCCACTTTACGGACAAGCAAACAGAGAGAGATTAAAATAACTTGTCCAAAGTCATGGGCAGTAGAGGCACTGATGAAGGACTGACCCCGAGATCCAATACTTTCCACCGCACCTCCTCTGAAGGAGTCAGTCCCTGATAGAATTTCCCACACATTACAGAGTTCACATGAAGCGTACCCTGAGTCTTTCCCATCTCGTTAACTTCACTTAGTTCATTTCTGGAAAGCCATGGTCTACTGGTTATTCAAAGTCACCTTTTTGTTCATTTCGTAGGTTGGATAAGGTTCATTTGCGTGTCTTTTCTTTTTCACAGTGCCCCTCCGCTCACCGAAAAGGAAGTTGAGGTGAGTAACTCCGGTGCTTTGTGAAATGATGAAGCCTGGGCTTGATTGGGTTTTATTTACACTTTTGTTGAGAATTAAACATTGAACATTATTGATAAGTTTAACTGGACTGAGGCTTGGGTAGGACAGAGACTCACCACCCACTGACACTGGTGGAGATGGGCCACGGGAGGTGTCCAAGGGCCGCCCCTGTCCTCAGGTGTGTGCTGAGATGACCAGTACCCAGCACGGCGAAAGCAGGGCCGGTTTGGAATCAGACAGGCCGTGGTTGAATCCTGGCTCTGCTGCTCTGTGTCACCTTGAACAAGATAATGACCTCTCTGGGCTTCGTCTCTTTACCCATATATGGTTATAACAGCGTCTAAAGAGAGGGTTTTGTGGGAGTAAATGGTGCATAAAACTCAGCATTGCTGGCGTATAGTAGATGCTCAATGAGGAGTGGTTTTCAGTATTGCCGTCGCTGGCTCAGTCAGGGCCCTCTGTCCTCTGGAGATTTCTGCCCACTGTGGGCCTTGTTACATGAACTTCCGAAGCTCAGGCGGAGTTATCTCACCACAACGGTATAAATCTGCCACCACTGGACTCAGGCAGAGCAATGAAAGCTATAAAAACGAAGGCCATCGCTTCCTTCCTGTGGAGTCCAGCTGTCTCCTCCTCCTCCCCAGTAGCTTCCTATTATTCCCGGAATTCCATGTCTGATCAGTACCAGCTTTCAAAGTTCATTCATGCAGGCTGCGTTTCGGGCATGACACTTGTTCCCGAGAGCTTCTCCTACTGAGTCACACCTGACTTCACTTCATCCCCCGGCAGCCCTGAACGCTGCTTTTCAAGGAGGGCTTGGAATGCTCGGGCAAGATGCTGGCTGACGTTTGCTTTAAGTCAACAAGGCTTACATCTCAAATTTTCTTTACAGTGGTTTCAGGCAAAACCTCCAAAACCCACGTGTAATAAATCCTAGCATGAATCCAAACTGCTTACATAATCAGCTGAGTTGGCCCAAGTTTATCTAAACCCAAATACAGGATGTTATTTTCTTAAAGTTCAGGGAAAAGCAAAGTGTTATTCTTTTATTATTCCTCAGTAAAATGCATTTGGTCTTCTGGTTTGGGGAAGGACCGAGCGTGGTCCTCGGGTTACTGTTTCACCATCCTCTGAGCAGTTGGCTGTGTTGGTGACCGGTCCCAGGAGCTGATGTAAAATGCTCCTGCAAGGACACCCCCTGCAGCCGTGCTCCCTGCAAGGACTCCTCTTAGCACCTCTCCCACACTCTTGTTCCCCACAGAACGTGTTTGTACAACTCTCCTTGGCCTTTAGAAATGACAGCTACACCCTGGAATCTAGAATTAACCAGGCTGAAAGGGAACGCAACCTGACAGAAGAAAACACCGAGAAGGAACTGGAAAACTTCAAAGCTTCCATCACGGTAATTGCCGGGCCTGAGTAGGGAATCCAGGGAGGAGGGTCTGTCTCCAAGGGCTGTGCTGGGTATCCTGCTTTTCTCAGTCACCAAGTAGAGTCTCCTGAAATGAGAAGTCAGGCCAAGGCCCTGAGCCAGACAGCCTTCCTCAGAGTGCTGGGAGGAGCTGAGCAGAGATGCTGAAGGCCTGGTGACCTCAGGGCTGTGGGTAAGGCCTCTGGGCCCTTGAGAGCATCTCAGGAGGGGGCTGGGTGATCTAGCATGGCAACGGGAGCTCTGTGGAAACCAGAGACCCGGATGTGATTCCCTCTTTTAGGCCAGCCAAGTATAGCGTGTCCACTGGGCTTCTCCAATCCCCAGAAGGAGCTGTAGCCCCGGCCCCGCAGAGGCCACTCCTCTCAGACAGGACGGGGACCAGGGTTCATCCTGTGAGGACCCCAGGTGACGTTCCTTCTCACTCCTCAGTCTTCAGCTTCAGTCTGGCACCACTGTGAGCACCGGGAGACCTACCAGAAGCTGCTGGAGGACATCGCTGTCCTGCACCGCCTGGCTGCCCGCCTCTCCAGCCGGGCCGAGATGGTGGGGGCCGTGCGCCAGGTGAGCCGCGCCAGCTCCCAGCCCTGCCAACGGGCTGCTCTGCCCGCAGTAACTAGAGCATCCTATGCGCAGTGACAACTACAGACACCACCTGTTGATGGCTCCCTCTGTGCCAGGCAGCCTAGGTACACGATTGTGGTTTTTTCAGAGCTTTTTGGGTAAACCGCTAAACCCTCAAGTGCTCCTTGTGGACACATGTGTGAGAACGACTGCACACTCCCTTCTTTCCCCGGAGATTTCCAACGCACATTGCAATACTCTAGACTTTGAGGAGTCTCGCAGTGAAGAAGCCTGTTTAAGTCCACCTCTGTGTTTCCCAAATGCCTTGGACTGAAGAACTACCGCCACTCCTTTACTTTTACTCACCAAGTACCTACTCAACTCCCATGGAGCTACTATTTGGCAAAACATACTTTCGGAAAAACTGCTTTGTTTCATTTAATCCTCCCAGCAACCCTGTGAATATCCTTATCCCCTGAGGAAAGTAATAGCTCAGGAATGGCAGAGCTGGGATGCCGGCCCGGGCGCTCCCTCAGCCTCCGGGAAGTCCGGGAGCACACACCGCACTGCCCTGACACTGATGGCGCCCCAGGAGCAGACTGCCTGAGGTCTAATCTCATTGCCACCAGGATTCACTGTGTGGCCTTGGGCCATTACCGAGCTCTCTGTGCTCCAGCTTCTCCAACCGTAACACGGCTCATGATAGTATCTGCCATGCAGGGCTGGTCTTACTGTGGACGCATGTCCTGCTGCACTGATTGCGTCAGCGGGGTGTTGCTGGGGCACAGCCCCAAGCAGTTTTTGTAGAACAAAGGAAGGACAAGCCACTGGCTTCTGGCTTCTGGGGAAAAAAAGCACCTGACTCAGCAGCAGCACCCAGGAAGTCAATCCAGCTGGGAGCAGCCACAGAGGGAGAGCTCAAAGAAAGTGGTGGGTCTCAGCTCACGGCCATAAGAAACTTTTCCAGGGCATGGTCACTGAGCATGTCCCTCTGTGGCCATGCAGGCCCTGGGCTAGGCTGTCTGAGGGATCCAAGGAGTATAAACAGAGAAAAATCTTTCTTATCTGCACAGCTCTCCCAAAAGTGTTTCTAGGTCCACGTGTTTTGCTCACTTTAGTCTTCCCCCTTCTCCAAATGTCTTTCCACGCCTGTCTTCTGAGTCTCAGTCCTCACCTCTCTCTAGTTCCACAGCTGGTTCAGGCACACCTTACTCCACCAGTCTCACTCCTGTCTGATTTCCACTGTGGCCTGATTATGTCACTGCCTGCCTTTAAGACAAGGTCCTTCACAACCCAGCCCCAACTACCTTTACTTCTTGTGAACAAACCCAGCTGCTTGCTGATTCCTACATGAGTGGCATGACCTGTACCTTCCTGGTTTTCCAGACACTCCTGTTATTTGCCTATCATCCCAGCATAATTCTTCTTATTTTTAATTTTATTAAATGTATGGGGGTGACATTGGTTAATAAGATTACATAGGTTTCAAGTGTAAGTTCTATCATACATCATCTGTATATTGCATTGTGTTTTCACCACCCAAAGTCAAGTCTCCTTCCGTCAGCATATATTTGACCCCCTTCACCGTCTTCTACCTCCTCTCACCTCATTCCCCTCTGGTAACCACCAGACTGTTGTCTGTATTTATAAGTTTTTGTTTGTTTATTTTGTTTGTTCATTTGTTGCTTTCTGTTTTATACTCTACATATGAGTGAAATCATATGGTTCTTGTGTTTTTTTCCCCATCTGACTTATTTCAGTTATTTCACGCTATTCTCAGGATCCATCTATGTTGTAGTAAATGGCAGTATTTCATCCTTTCTTATGGCTGAGTAGTATTCCATTGCACATATGTACCACATCTTCTTTATCCAATCCTCGATTAAAGGACACTTCAGTTATTTCCATGTCTTGGCCACCATGAATAAAGCTGCAATGAACACAGATGTTCATATAACTTTACAAATAAATGTTTTCAAATTTTTCACGCAGATACCCAGAAGTATTGCCTATTCATATGGTACTCTACTCTTAATTTTCTGAGGGACCTCTATACTGTTTTTCACAGTGGCTGCACCAGTTTATATTCCACCAGCAGTGAATGAAGGTTCCTTTTTCTCTACAACCTCTCCAATACTTGTTATTTCTTGTCTTGTTGATAATAGGCATTCTAACAGGTGTGAGATAGTATATTATTGTGGTTTTGATTTGCATTTCCCTAATAGCTAGTGAAGTTGAGCATGTCTTCATACATCTGTTGGCCATTTATATGTCTTCTTGGGAGAAATGTCTGTTCACCTCCACCCCCTCACCCCCGCCTTTCTTTTTTCCTTTTAATCCTCACCCAAGGATATTTTTTCATTGATTTTCAGAGTGGAGGGAGGGAGGGAGGGAGAGAGAGAGAGAAACATCGACATGAAAGAGACACATCAGTTGGCTGCCTCCTGCATGACCCTGACGAGGGCTGGGGACTGAACAGCAACCGAGGTACATGGTGGCCTTGACCAGGAATCAAACCCGTGACTCTTTGGCCCGCAGGCTGATGTTCTAACCACTGAGCCAAATTGGCCATCCCCTTCCCCCTTTATTTTAATTGGATTGTTTGTTTTTTTGTTGTTGAGGTGTATGAATTCTTTATATATTTTGGATATTAGCCCCTTATTGGGGGTGTTGTTTGTAAATATCTTCTCACATTTGGTTGGTTGTCTTTTTCTTTGTTGATGGTCTCTTTTGCTGTGTCTCTTTTTGAGTGTGATACAATCCCATTCATGTATTACTTTTGCTTTACTTCCCTTGCTTTGGGGTCAAATTCATAAAATCCTGTCTAAGACCAAGGTCCATAAGTTCAGTACCTATGTTTTCTTCTATGTATTTTATTGTTTTAGGTCTTATAGTTAGGTCTTTGCTCCCAGCACAATACTTTTTTGTTTTTAACCCTCACCCAAGTATATGTTTTTATTGATTTTAGAGAGAGAGAAAGGGAAAGAGAGAGAAAAAGAAACATCAATGTGAGAAACATCGATCAGTTGCCTCCTGTACATGCCCCAACCAAAGATCAAACCCACAATCTAGATATGTGCTCTAACTGGGAATCGAACCCATAACCTTTTCGTGTATGTGACAGCATTCCAGCTGACTGAGCCACCCAGCCAGGGCCCCAGCATAATTCTTAATAGCACACTCCCTTTCACTTTCAAAGGACTCCTGTTTGGAGGGTAAATTCTTTTCCTAGATACAAGGCCTATGGTTTCTGTCTCTGGACCCTTGCTCTCGGAGTTCCCTGGCCTGAATGCTCTTTGTCCATTCTGTTCATGTCTAGATGCCCAGATGCTGCCCACACCCTACAGCTACTTCACTCCATCTCCATGCGACCTCCCTGACCCGTTCTCTAACACACTTGCACCTGCCATCCACTGAGGCGTGGTGACTGTGCTTTTCTTATTCTGAGTGCCTGCAACCCCTCTCAGCTCATGTGCTGGGCAGCAAACTCCTAGAGGGAAGGGTCATGTCTAATTGGTCACTGTACCCTTGAGATTCTCCCAGCCCTGAGCCTCACTCAGTGCAAATAATTGCCAATGAGCCTTTCCTCCAAATGCCCATGTGTTCATGCTCTCCTCCCCTGCAGGAAAAGCGCATGTCAAAGGCAACAGAGGTGATGATGCAGTATGTGGAGAACCTGAAGAGGACGTATGAGAAGGACCATGCGGAGCTCATGGAATTTAAAAAACTGGCGAATCAGAATTCAAGCCGCAGCTGCAGCCCCTCTGGTAAGGAAACAGGGTCCTGCCCTCATCTTGGGCCTGCAATGTGGGTTCCTGAGGTCTCTAGGCTCGGACTGCACCTATCAGGGCTGCCCCAGGACTTATTTCAGGTTGAGCATGGTTCACTGCCCCTGCCCAGCGCTGCCCATAAGGGCTTCACCGCTGCTGCTCCAGTGAGCCTCGGGGCCTGGAACCAGAAAACATGAACGGCCCTAAGCGACTCCTGACTTCTGACCCAGTTAACCAGAGTAGCTGACCACTGACACAAAGCCCACAGGCTGCAAGAGCTCACTCTACTTTGTGAAAAGACAGACCCCAGACCCTTTGTGCTCTGGGGCCCCCTTTTAGGCAACATATTAAGGAATTTGGACTTTATCCTGGAAAGCATTAGAGATCCAACCAAATATTTTAGCCAGGGAAATGACATGATCATATACGGAGTTTAGAAGGTTCCCTCTGACTATGGTAAGGCAAGTATATTCCCGGGGCAAAGCCAGAGACAGGGGACCCCATGAAGCTGTTACAGCAGCCCAGGTGAAAGATGAAGTCTGGGCAGTAGAGCCAGGTGAGAGCCTGGCTAGGGGAGGTGTCGCTGAGATGAGACTTGTGGGCAATGCAAATGTTTTGAAGAAACATCTTTTTTTTTTTTATCCTCACCCAAGGACATTTTTGCATTTATCTTCAGAAAGAGTGGGAGGGAGAGAGGGAGGAAGAGAGAGAGAGAAACATTGATGTGAGAGAGACACATCAACTGGTTGCCACCCACACAACCCCAATCGGGGCCGGGGACAAACTGCAACTGAGGTACGTGCCCTTAGCAGGAACCAAACCTGGGTCTCTCTGGTCTGCGGGGCAAAGCTCTAACCACTGAGCAAAATCGGTCAGGGCTGAAGAAATATTTTTTATAAAAAATGTTCTATAAAATTGCTATAGGAGCAGAGAGGAGGGGGGAACCTGATTCTGCATGAGGGAATCAAGGAAAGTTTTACAGACAGGTGGGGTCTGGGCAGTATTCTAAAGTAAAACTAGGAGTTCTTCAAGCAAAAGGGAGACATGCATCCAGGTGGAGCTAACAGCATGTACAGGGGTGTGTGGCTGCAGTGTTGGGGTGTGATAATGACAGGCTGAAGGTGAACGAGGCAGGCCAGGGCCACCTGCCAGGCCTTCGTTCCCTAGGCAATGAGGAGTCCCTGGTGAGTTGACACCACCTGACATTGTCAGATTGTATTTTTAGAATATCTGACTTCAGAGACAGTGATGCAGAGACGGTGGGGAGTGTAGACACTGAGGTATGGAGAGATGCAATGGGAGGCCTTGAAGCAGCCTGGAGGAGGAGGACAGTGCCTTGGAACAGAAGTCTCCTTGGGAGCTGCCAGGTGCAGGCTCTGGCTGATGACGGTGGTGTTAGTGGGACAAAACAGACATTTCAGTGACAGGAATCCTCGTGGAGTGCAAACATCCGTGTTACCAAGAGCGGCAGGAGGGAAAGTGCAGAAATTGTAGCAGACGGAGAAACCTTTGTAAACAGGAGGTTTCACGAGTTTCCTGGGGAGTATCACTGACGCGTCCAGCTCCAGACTGTCTGCTCGGGATCTTGGCAGCAAGGATCCTGAGCCACATGCACCCGGGCCTTCAACAAGCCGCTCTCTGTCAGTGTTGGAAGCAGGGGAAGTTGCCATCAAGGAAACCCTAGTACATGGCTCTTGAATTATTGTCCTGCAAGGGGCAGTGACACCTGTGAACCACCTTAGCCCAGATTTATGAAACGAGCAGTTACCTATTTATTCTACAGATGTTTACTGAGCACCTTTGGTGTGCCTGCATGGTACTGGAATAGAGGGAAAGGGCCCAGAGCCCCTGACCAAAAGGAGCTCCCAAACCCATGGGGAGGACAGGGCAGTGTAGCCAGTGCTGTGGCAGGTTAAGCAGACTTCGTGGGGAGCACGCTGCTCAGTCCCACCTTCAGCCTGGGGGGAGGAGAACGTGCCTACAATAAGTACCGAGTCCTGAATGGTGAACAAGGGTTGCAGACCTTCGTTCCCACTCCACTGTCTTTCCAAGCCATACCTGAGCTCGGCTGGTGCAGAGAGGCCAGCACTCACCCGACAGGTGTGTCCATCAGATACTCTATGACCATTCCCTAATATATAGTGTTTATTTTTTAAGCCTTTACGTAACTTCTGGCAATATTTGTCTTTGCCTGAGACTCTACAGATGACAGTGAAATGAAAATACCTCTGATTTCAAGAAAAGTGATACACATGAAAAAAAAAGACCTAGTATTTTTTCTAAATGTAACACATGCTTATTGTCTGCATTTTGGATGTTTTCCTTAGGACAGATTCTAGAAGTGTAAATATAGATCATGGGAAAGACATACTTATAAGGCTCTTAAAGCAAATTATTTTCAAGTAACCCATTGATATTTCCATTTAGTGGGTTACAATAATGCTCAATTCATTGTACCATTGACATTTTTGTCCTTTCTTTTTGAAAAATATCTTTGACTTTTATGGGTCAAAATTGTATCTCATCTCATAGTTTTAATTTGTATTTTTTTTTAACCTTTTCAAATGTTCCCTGGATATTTGTATTCCCACTTTCATAAATTCTCTAATTATGTCTTTTGTTTACTTGCAAGATAAATATTTTACTAATTTGTATGAACTCATCATATATAAAGAATATTTTCTGGTTCTGCTATTTTGGCTGACTAGGAAATCTGTAAACCTTTGACCATAAATACTTTTTGCTGGATGAAATAAAGCAAACATTAGTCTAAAAGAATAGCTGAATCTACAAGAAAGAACCTGAAGTACTCAGATACAAGAAAAGAAAAGAGAACTGAAACCAAGCTGACCCTGCAGCCTCCCTGGGACAACGGCAGCCTCCCAGTCATCTGAGTGCTGGGCTCTGCCCTGGCACAGTCTAAGAGGCCCTGGGCACCTATGGCAGAGTTGGCTCTGTCTCCCATAGAAAGTTACGACTTTCTGAGGTCTGCATCTTTAGACAAACTTGGACAAGAAAAAAAAAAAAAATCACCAAACAGCAGAGAAAGAAATCAAGGAAGTCTGTGTTGCCCTGGGCTCTGGTAGGAAAAAAACACGTTCTCCTTCCTCATAGGAAAAGTGCACACCCCAAAGCACTTGCCATGACAGTAGTGATGACACAATATGTGGAGAATCTAAGAAGAGCGTGGCAGTGGGACTCTGGCCCACAGACACTTGGGCTTAGTTTCTGACTGTTTCCTACTGGAGCCTACTCTGAAAACTTACCCGAGTTCTCCTCTCTGTTCCCTCCTGTTGCAGAAGACGGGGTCCCTCGCACAGCGCGGTCCATGTCCCTCTCTCTGGGAAAGGTATGCATGTTCAAGGAATTCCAGGGCTCCCGAAGGAAGTACAACAGAAGTTTCCACAGTCACCCAGGAGATCATTCATTCTTGGATCCAAGGGTGGCAGAGTCTCTAATCCAGCTCCCCACACCTGCTAGCTCATCCTCCAGCCTTCTATTGTTCATGTTTTTCCTGACTGTACCATCCCTTAAATGAATATGAAATGATGCATACACCTTGGTATTGCTATAGTTTTCATGCACTATCCAGGATGTTACCCAGAGACTGGGGGTCATTTCTGTTTTATTTCTTCAGGATTTAATAAGCAAAAATAGAAACATGTTGAGACATCCCTCACCTCTAAAAGAAAATTTCTGTCAACTTTGGCTACTCTCTCTACACCAACTCCCACCACCATCACTGTCCCTAAGCCAAACCATCCAGTGAATATTATTACAGCATTAGGAATGAATAGGTATATTCAGGGCCTTTCTCAACTGTGGGTGCTGCTTCCTCCAAAACAGTGGGCCTTGTCAATTTTCTTCTACAGAACATGCCCCGTCGAAGGGTCAGTGTTGCTGTGGTTCCCAAGTTTAATGCCCTGAACCTGCCTGGTCAGACTCCAAGCTCCTCACCCATCCCCTCCTTACCAGCCCTGGTGAGTATGATGAGCTTGCCTGCTGGGCCCTATTTAATGTCTCCCTCAGGCTCACTAATATGTGGGTGATGTGGACGTGGGCAAGGTCAGTAAGGTGTGGACATTCCCAGCATAGATTCTGGGCAATGGGCTTAAACAGCCCAATATAGACCAGGCTCCCATGTCTTCCACTGTTCTGGGAAGAAGACATTATCCTTGAGCAAGGTGCTGGCAACTCAGAGAGTGTTCCTTGTAAGGCATATCCTTTTCTTTCTTGTGCTTAAACCACAACCCTCCAAGGTGGGTGTGATTTTGTCCCACTCTGCAATGGTCTTGAACAGCTGAGTTGCATTGTGTAGTGTTAGAGCTGAGCTTGAACCATAGGCTCTTTGATTCCAGAGCTCAAATTATTATTATTATTTTTATTGGAACTGCTTTTTATTCATTTAAACCATGAGGTTTGCAAACCATCAAGGAGCACTTACTTGGATGGTGAAGTTGTTTATGTTTCTTTACATTTTTGTCACTTTCTCTCATGGATTTCTTGGGTTATTACTAGTGAATTTGTAGCAAGGTCCTTATCAGATCAGAATTCTGTAATGCCAAATGGTTTATTTGAATCTCCCTGCCCTTCCTTTCTTTGAAGTTGGCAGGGATAATTCAATTGAGATAGTGCTTGGGTGTGTCTACTTGGAAGCAGGCTGGGCCACTGCATGTGTTAGAGACATGCCCATTTATTTATTATAGATGAACATTTATTGAATGTTAATCTGAAAGTGAATCTGAAAGCAGATGTCTGAACTGCTGAGGGTCTCCACTGACCACTTGAGGTTTACTCGCAAACTCTTATGTACTTCGTTTGAGATTCACATGTTCTATTTTCATACATTTGGTCTTAATAAAAAATACATGTGCTGTCGTGTGGTTATAGCTGTAAGGAAAGAGGTTTACCATGCTAAGTTTAAAAAATTATAAAAAATATTTACACAATATTTCACTTTTTAAAAAAATAGCAGTATTTTGTTCATGAAAAAGTTTTATGATTTTACAGGTGCTATAATAAACTATTCTCTTTTGTTTCAGGAATAAGTTAAGTATCAAATGTTTAGTTCCTGAATTCTAGAACATAGAAATCATGGTGGTATAATCAAGTTTCTATTAATTAGGGTGTCAAATTATTTTTTTAATCCTCATCCGAGGATATTTTTCCATTTATCTTCAGATAGAGTGGGAGGGAGAGAGAGAAACATTGATGTGAGAGAGACTGCCTTCCGCATCACCCCAACCAGAGCCTGGGTCCAAACCGCAACTGAAGTACGTGCCCTTGACCAGAATCGAACCCGTGACCTTTTGGTGCATGGGCCAACGCTCTAACCACTGAGCAAAACCTGCCAGGGCAGAGCTCAAATTCTTAAACCCAATGTTATCCTGCCTCGATTCATTGTAACATTGTTTACAAAATGAAAAACTGTAGACTATTCAAATGTCCAATAAGAGATTAGTTAAATAAATTAGGGACATTCCTATAAGGGGTTTCTATGCAGTTGCTAAAAATAATGATTAGAATATAAATACAGGGTAGAGAGAAAGTAGGTTTACAGTTGTTCATATGGAAAATAATACAATAATTAATAAATGATATAAGAATAAACTCTGTTTCACATACTCACAACTGTAAACCTGCTTTGGCCCCACTCTGTATTTATTCACATGAAAAACATTTCATAATTATTTAGTAAAAAGCAGCCCTGGCCAGTTTTGCTCAGCGGTTAGAGCGTCGGCCTGTGGTCCAGGGAGACCTGGGTTCAGTTCCCGCTGAGGGCACGTACCTCGGTTGCAGTTTGTCCCCGGCCCTGGCTGGTCGTGCAGGTGGCAGCCACTCGATGTGTCCCTTTCACATCGATGTTTCTCTCTCTCTTGTCTCTCTCGCTCTCTTCCTCTCTCTCCTTCCCACTCTATCTGAACAAAAGATGAAAAAATGTCCTCAGGTGAGGATTTAAAAAAAGCAATTAAAAGCAGTATATACAAAAAATAGTATATATAGTATAATTCTGTTTTGTAGGACCACCTTTTCCGTGTTTCTTTCTTAGGAATGAATCCAGAGCCTTTCTTCAGTCTTCCTTCTTATCTTGTTGGTAGATTTGCTCCTTTTCTAAACCAATCTCAGGCTTTCCATTTTTAAAACAAAGTCAGTTCTTATATAACAAAATTTTTTCCAGATCCCCGTGAATCTACTTAAGCCTATCCAAACTTCGACTTTTTTCTCCAGTTGTCCCTCCATGCCCCCTCCCACGGCTGGCAGTGCTCTGTAAGGAACCAGCGATGTGCAGGCAGCGGGTAAAGCAGACCCAAGCACTGCTCTGCCAATAGGTAGCAGTCATCTTAAATTTCTTTCACATCTTCCTGCCTCAAACATTGCAATCAGCTTTGAAATCAGCATAACTCCCAAATCACCCACTGAAACAAAGGAGCCTAAAATAAAAAAAATTTTAAAGACCCTTAGGGAGGACTAGTTAGTATGTTTTAAAGGACCTTTTTTTCATACTATACTAAATGTGTAAATGTGGTTTCCAACTATACATATATATATTCCTTTAGACTAGAGGTTGGCAACTAGGGCTATATGTTCAAATGACTTGGGGTACTTCTTAAACATTCTGTGCCTGGGCCCGCCCAAGATTCTGGCCTGGATCAGTACTTTTTTTTTTTTTTTTATCATCACCTGAGGACATTTTTCCATTTTTTCTTCAGAGTGGGAGGGGGAGAGAGAGAGAGAGAGAGAGAGAGAGAGAGAGAGAGAGAGAGAGAGAAACATGAAAGGGACACATCGAGTGGCTGCCTCCTGCATGACCCCAACCAGGGAATCACAACTGAGGTACATGTCCTTGGTCGGAATTGAACCCGTGACTCATTGGTCCACAATCCAACGCTCTAACCGCTGAGCCAAACCGGCCAGGGCTGGATCAGTACTTTCAAAAGTCTCCTCAAGGTGATTCGAATGTGCAGCCAGAGTTGAGAACCATTGCTTATGTCAAACCCATTGCAACAGAACAATGTGATAGTCCTGGGATATTTATTATAAGAAATGTGTGATGGCTTGAGATTTTAGTAAGGATGGGCATCTCCTGAGAACTGTGCTTGGAGCTGCATCTCCAGGGCAGTGGTGGGCTTGGGATCTTGGGGTCTGTGTTTGGTAGGAGGCCCACTGGTATTTAATCCAAGTCAGGAAACAGTAATCCAAATGAGGAGTGAGGAAAGGGAAAGAGGGGGAGCAGCGACAGCCCCTCCACCCCCAGCATCATCAAACACCCAGCAGCTCTAGTTTCTTCCTTCCTAGCTAATCCTCAATTCTGTCTCCTGTTTTCCATTCAGTCAGAACCAACTAATGGGAAAGGCAATTTTCCTGTCGTCACCTCAGCACTGCCAGCACTTTTGGAAAAGTAAGTGTCAATTTTCCTCTGAACTTTGGGTATCTGAGGAAAATTTCCCCAACTCACCTTTCCTCCCATCCTCACTCCAAAAATGCAATAGAAAGCAAATTTAGTTCTGAAAGAAATAAGTGGGACTCTGAAACCCACAAAGATTTCAGACCCAGGGTGCAGAATTCCTAGACCAGGAAGATGTTGTGGCTTAGGTCAAGGGCACCTAAGACCTAAAAAGAGCCCATTGAAGATGGGAACCTTCTCTGTTGGTTGGGACTCTTTGGGCTACAGATACAAGAAAGCCCCAACTCAAAGGGGCTTAACTAAGTCCAGAGAAGGGTCTGCTCCAGGTGTGGGCCCCAGCTCTGTCTCTCTACACTTCCTTGCCTCTGCCCATTTTGTGCGTTGACTTCATCAGCAGGCTTGTGGCAAATGGCTGCTGGTTCAGGTCCTACCCAGACACGACAATATCTAGAGGAAAAAGGACCACCTTTTCCCATGTTTCTTTCTTAGGAATGAATCCAGAAGCCTTTCTTCAGTCTTCCTTCTTATCTTGTTGGTAGATTTGCTCCTTTTCTAAACCAATCTCAAGCTTTGGGAGTGGGATTGTCATTCTGGTCTTAAACTATCCCCTGGAGATGGAAAGAGAGGACCAGCTTCCCATGAAGCAAGGTGGCTTCATAAAGAAGAGTCAATTCTTCTTCAATAAAATCACGTTGCTATGATGAAGTAGAAAGATGATGAGTATTGGATGGGCAACCAGCGGAGTCTGCCATCCCTAACTTGTTGAGACATCTATGCAATTTGTAGGTCTTTTCATCCTCAAAGCAAGGCAGGCCATTTCTACAGACTGAGAGGAGTTTATACTTGCTTTTCTAATTCTTCCATTTGCTTGCTGGAAAACATCTGGACCACAGCTGCCACCTCTCAGAACTTTCCCCTTGTGTCTTTCCTCACTTGGTAGAACATTCACCTTTATTCTTCCTTCTTCCTTGCCTTGAGACAACTTTAGTCCTTTATTTTTCATTGCTGTTAGAACAGTTTTGCTTGACCTGGTAAAGAATGTCCATGTTGGGCCCTGGCTGGTTTGGCTCAGCCGTTAGAGCGTCGGCCTGCAGTCCAGGGAGACCCGGGTTTGATTCCCGCTAAGGGCACGTACCTCGATTGTGGTTTGTCCCTGGCCCTGGTTGGGTCATGCGGGTGGCAGCCACTTGATGTGTCCCTTTCATGTCAATGTTTCTCTCTCTCTCTCTTCCTCTCTCTCCCTCCCACTCTATCTGAACAAGAAAAAAAAGAAAAAAAAAGAATGTCCATGATGGGCCCCTTTTCAGTACAGACAAGCTCCCAAGCTCGCCACCCCCAGATTTAGCCTGTTTTCTTCCCCTCTCAGTATATCAACCACAAACCTATCCCTCAGTGACTGACCCCACATTAGTCTTTTTTTTTAAATTAATTAATTAATTTTTGTTACAGATGTTTCTCCCTGTTCCCCCACTGATTCTGCCCCCTCCCTCCCCGCCCTATCCCCAGCTTTGTTGTCCATGTCCATTGTTCATGCATACATGCATATAAGTTCTGTGGTTTATCTCTCCTCCATTACCCGCTCTTCTGGGGATTGTCAGTCTGTACCCCATTTCCATGTCTCTGGAACTACCCCATTCCTCAGACTGTTATGTTCATTATATTCCACAGATAAATGAGATCATATGATACTTGTCTTTCTCTGTTTGGCTTGTTTTGCTTAGGGTAATACTTTCCAGGTCCCTCCATGTCATCTCAAAGGATAAGAGATCTTTCTGTCTTACAGCTGCATAGTGCTCCATTGTGTATATGTAACACGGTGTTTTTATCCATTCGTCTACTGACAGACATTTGGGCTGTTTCCAGATCTTGGCTATTGTAAATAGTGCTGCTACGAACATGGGGGTACATATATTCTTTCTGATTAGTGTTTCAGGCTTCTTAGGGTATATTCCTAGAAGTGGTATCACTGGGTCAAATGGAAGTTCAATTTTTAATTTTTTGAGGTAACACCATATTGTTTTCCATAGTGGCTGCACCAGTCTGCATTCCCACCAGCAGTGTACTACAGTCCCCTTTTCTCCACACCCTCGCCAACACTTGTTGTTTGATGATTTGTTGATGGCAGCCATTCTGACAGTTGTGAGGTGATACCTCATTGTTGTTTTAATTTGCATCTCTCTGATGATTAGTGATGATGAGCATTTCTTCATATATCTCTTAGCCATTTGTATGTCCTGTTTGGAGAGGTGCCTATTTAGTTCCTCTGCCCATTTTTTTTAATTGGGTTCTTTGTCTTTCTTTTGTTGAGTTGTATGAGCACTCTCTATATATTGGAAATTAACCCCTTATCTGATATATCATTGGCAATGATGCTCTCCCATACAGTGGGTTGCCTTTCCATTTTGATGATTGTATCTTTTGCTGTGCAGAAGCTTTTGAGTTTGATGTAGTCCCATGTGTTCATTTTTTCCTTTGTTTCTGTTGCCTTAGGTGTTGTATCGGTGAAAATTCTGCTGTGTATGATGTCTTAAATTTTGTTGCCTACATTTTCTTCTAGGATTTTTATGGATTCATGAGTCACATTTAAGTCTTTTATCCATTTTGAGTTTATTTTTGTGTATGCTGTAAGTTGATAGTCTAGTTTCATTTTTTCACATGTAGCTGTCCAATTTTTACAACACCATTTATTAAAGAGGCAGTCTTTACTCCACTGTATGCTCTTGCCACCTTTGTCAAATATTAATTGAGCATATTGCCTTAGGTCTATTTCTGGGTTCTCTGTTCTGTTCCACTGGTCTATAGGCCTGTTCTTGTGCCAGTACCAGGCTATTTGATTACAGTGGCTTTGTAGTATAACCTGATTTCTGGTATTATGATCCCTCCAACTTTGTTCTTCTTTTTCAAGATTGCTGTGGCTATTCGAGGTCTTTTTTGGTTCCATATGAACTTTTGAAATATTTGTTCTAGTTCTGTAAAGTATGTTGTTGGTATTTTGATGGGGATTGCATTGAATCTATAGATTGCTTTGTGTAGTATGGACATTTTAATGATATTAATTCTTCCAATCCATGAACAAGTTATATGCTTCCACTTTTTTTATCTTCCTCTATTTCTTTTTTCAATGAACTGTAGTTTTCTGCAAATAGGTCCTTTATTTCTTTGGTTAAGTTTATTCCTAGGTATCTTTAATTTTTTTGCTGCAGTGGTAAATGGGATTGTTTTTTTAGTTTCTCTTTCTGTGAGTTCATCATTGGTGTATAGGAATGCCATTGATTTCTTGATGTTAATTTTGTATCCTGCTACTTTGCCAAATTTATTTATTAAGTCTACTAAATTTTTGATGGAGTTTTGGGGGTTTTCTATGTATAGTATCATATCATCTCTGAATAATGACAGTTTTACTTCCTCCTTTCCAATTTGGATTCCAATTTTTTCTTCCTGTCTGATTGCTGTGGCTAAGACTTTCAGTATATGTTAAATAAGAGTGGCAAAAGTGGGCATCCTTGTCTTATTCCTGTTGTTAAGAGAAATGCTTTTAATTTTTGCCCTTTGAGTATGATGTTGGCTGTAGGTCTTTCATATATGGCTTTTATTATGTCGAGATATGATCCCTCTATTCCCAGATTGCTGAGCGTTTTTATCAGAAATGGGTGCTGGATTTTGTCTAATGCTTTTCCAGCGTCTATTGACATGATCATATAATTTTTATTCTTCATTTTGTTTATGTGTTGTATCACATTTATTGAATTGCGAGTATTGTACCATCCTTGCATCCCTGGGATGAATCCCACTTGGTCATGATGAATAATTTTTTTGATGTATTGCTGGATTTGATTTGCTAGTATTTTGTTCAGGATTTTGGCATCTATGTTCATCAGGGATATTGGTCTGTAATTTTCTTTCTTTGTAGTGTCTTTTTCTGGTTTGGAATTAGAATAATGCTGACCTCATAAAACGAGTTTGGAAGGCTTCCTTCTTCTTGAATTTTTTGAAATAGTTTGAGGAGAATGGGTATTAGTTTTTCTTTGAATGTTTGGTAAAATTCCCCTGTGAAGCCATCCGGGCCCGGGCTTTTGTTTGCTGGGAGAATCTTGATTACATCTTCAATTTCTTTTGTTGTTATTGGTTTGTTCAAGTTTTCTATCTCTTCCTGGTTCAGTTTTGGGAGACTACGTGTTTCTAGAAATTGGTTCATTTCGCTTAGATTGTCGAATTTGCTGCCGTATAATTGTTCATAATATTTGTTAACAACCTTTTGTATTTCTGTGGTGTCAGTTGTTACTTCTCCTCTTTCATTTCTGATTTTGTGTATTTGGGTTCTCTCTCTTTGTTTCTTGGTGAGTCTAGCTAATGGTCCATCAATCTTGTTTATCTCTTCAAAGAATAGATCTCTTTGTTTCATTGATCTTTGGATTGTTTTTTTTTTGGTCTCCATGTCATTTATTTCTGCTCTAATTTTTACTATTTTCTTCCTTCTACTTGCTCTGGGGTTTTCTTTTTGTTTGCTTTCTAGATCTTTAAGTTGTGAGGTTAGATAGTCTATTAGAAATTTTTCTTGTTTCTTGAGGTAGGCCTGCAGTGCTATGAACTTCCCTCTCAGAACTGCTTTCGCTGCATCCCATAGATTTTGTGTTGTTGTGTGTTCATTTTCATTGGTTTCCAGGAAGTTTTTAATTTCTTCCTTGATCTCCATGGTAACCCATTTATTGTTCAATAACATGCTATTTAGTCTCCATGTTTTCAAATGTCTTTGCATGTTCTTGTTGCAATTGATTTCTAGTTGCATGCCATTGTGATCTGAGAAGATGCTTGATATGATTTCAATCTTCTTGAACTTGTAGAGACTTAGTTTGTGCCCTAACATGTGGTCTATCTTTGAGAATTTCCCATGTGCACTTGAGAAGAATGTGAATTCTACGGTTTTGGGGTGTAATTCTCTGTAGATATCTATGAAATCCATTTGATTTAGCGCTTCATTTAGAGTCTGTGTTTCC